CTTTGTGCAGCTATCGGTGTAGCAGGCTGACTGAGAAGTGTTAATTCAGAAGAAAGCATTCATGAGTGACTATTTTGTCTTAGTTCAACAAGAAAAATGAAGAAGCAAAAGGTATTGGGTTTACTTGGGAGGTTTTCCATACTGAAAAGAAGAAATAGAAGATGCATTTAAAGCAGGTGAAGCTTATAAAGACAGTTTTCAGCTCAAAATCTAAATTGTGATGGAATTCAGCCTTGCAGAGGAGGAGCTCAGGGAGGTGCCTCCATGTTGGGAAACATGAAATGGATTAATCTCTAAAGTGGACCAGGTTTCACCAGAGTCCACCCTCTTTGCTCAACACAAAGTTCAGCAAATGCCCTCGCTGCCTCACGCAAGTTGATGTGTTGGAACTTAGATTCTTCATAAAGTTTATAAGAGTTAGGATTAGGTGGAACAAGGCGTTAAAGCTCGCTAAAACTTCTCAAAAACGCAGATCTGAAATATAAAACTTCTTAAACATCCACCGAGTAAAATGGAACACATGACGGTATGTAGGAAATCAGCCGTCAGAACCATGACAGTGTATTAAAGATGTTTTATGTCTTTTTACGCCTACAACTGTAACACAATCAAACATTTTAACTCGAGTTCAATAATTAAGCCCATTTTAAAATGTGACCTGTTGTGTCAGTAGCATCCAGACCAAGTCCAGCTCCACGTTTTAGTGTCTACCCTCCCTACTGTGAGTGATGGTGGATTGTCTTCCATTCTCATGGTAATTGAAGCTCCAGAGTAAAGTTTTTGCAGCCCTCTTCATGGCTGTGGAGCTGAGCTTCACAATAATGACAGCACCATCATAAACTGGGAGGTGGTGCTTGAGTTGCTGTGTGTGGAGTGGAGGTGAAGTAGTTTGAAGAAATTTGCAAGCAGCAGGTGGGGGTGAAGCATCGCCACTTTTTTTTTTTTCCCCCTACTTTGCTGTCTTTTTGTTGGACTAGCACTGCACAAAAATGTTTTTGTTTTTCAAAGAAATCCAAAAACTCATGGCTCTACTTTTCTTGACGTCTGAGCAGGTAAATTTCTGCAAGCATTTTATTCTTAGAGAAACATTGCAGTCCATTCATATGCTTTATAATAACTTTAAATCACTGTGCACTCAGACACTGTCAGGTTTGTGCAGCTTTAGGTCACTCCATCTACTGAGGTGTCACTTCTACACTACGTTCCAATTGAAAACCACTATTTTGTTTTCATTTAACCCTTGCTTGCTTGTATTAATCCATCAGTTGTGACCAACACTTGAGTCACGCCTAAGTTGTCACAGACTCTGAAGTAGTCGGAACCGTTTTCTTTGACGTCACTTTACAGTGCTGATAAGTGCACGGCACTCCCTGCGGTGACGGTTCCAGAAACCACCCTGTGTTTCAAAGCTCCAAGGGAACATGTTGCAATGAATAAATGCCTGAAACCATGTTTGGTATAAATTTGAAACCAATGTGGATCAAATTATTAAGACTCCTGTTCTAAGAAATGATTGTCATGGTTGTTTTTCTGAGCAAATTCTTCCATTTTGCTTTGAGATTTATTAGAAATGCATACCAGTGTCATTTATTTATTTATTGTACGGCAAACCTATTTGGAAATTTGTCAACATTAATTTAAATTTCTCTCAACTCTATTTGAAATGGTTTTGAATTATTTGTCACTGGAAAACCCAGAGTTCATCAGTAAAACCAGTATATTCTCACACAAGTTTTTCTTTTGTTTTAATTTTTTTTTTTTAAGGCAAGAAGTACAAGTTTTTCTAATTATCTCAATGACATGATCTGGTCATGATTCCTTATTGCCTGTTGCACTTCATTTTATTTTTAGTATTCTTTTGTTTTTTTTACATAGTCATGGCCGCCTTCTTTCTTTTTAAAAAGTTTTCCTCAAAGAGTACCTTAAGTGCTTGAGTATTCACATTAGTTTTGTGTATTTGATTACACCATACACGCCCAAGAAATACTAAGTACAGTGGCTTGCAATGAGTCACAAAATTCCCATACGCCTGAACGCATCAAGCATTCAGTTTTTCCCTGTAAATCTGAAAAATCTTCAGTTTCCAAAGAAACAAGAACCACTGACGGTGTTTTATTTTTTTATTTTTTCTGCAAGTGAAATCAAATAACCCGTCAACTCATTCTTGCTCAAAATGATTGGAAACCCCAGTATGACGCCAACCTTTCTGTCCCGTATGAATGCATTTGAAAGGGTTATTCATGTATGCAGAATCGTGTTGGTGAACGTACAACACCTGTGTCCTGTTTGTGAAATTTCACCAAACAAAGAAAAGTAGAATTCTGTCAAAAAGTGGGTCAAAATGTGGTCACGAGGCTTCACCAGTCCGATGGAAATAGTTGCATATTTAACCTGTGAAGTGGAGCGTGTGATGTGGTTTGTGTTGTATGTAGCTGATCAAACATGGGAATAAACCCATTGATTCTAATTAGATGCAGACTCCTTTGTTTCCTCTCTGTATTGTCGCCGTGTGACTGCTAAAAACCCACTTGTGAGCTACGTTCTCATCGGTAAGGTGTTCGAGTGTTGGCAGTCAGCAGTGGCCGTTTTCGGCTGATATGGTTCAGGCGACGAGAAAAGCTCCTTTGGGTTGAGCTCTAGCCAAGTCACGTGAAGACGGAGAGAGGGATGAGGTCAGGGTGGGAACGAGACAAAACACAGGTGACCCAACAGACGCAATACTTTTAAACATGTAGGAACTACTGCAAAGTACTTTTTGAAGAGGTGGTAAAAAGTTTGGCGCTGTTTTCATGAAGCGGTGAGGTTGTAAGTGGAGGTGGTCAGATGTCTGCTCGGGTTTAAACGAGGATAAGCAGCGTTAACTTCGTTAGTCCCCGACAGCATTTGTTCAAGGAACGGTGATGTCATTTCTGTCCACATCTTCACAATAAAACTGCTCACAATGAATCTTTAACTTAGACGTCCAAAATTGTTGCTCGCTCCTGCAGACCTTCCATCTTTTGGTTTAGAACACACACGTATGTTTACCTATTATGTTTTGAGTATTTTCATTTTATATTTAACAATTCTGTCTCTGCATGACAAAATTTAATTAGTTACCAAGTTTGTAAGGTAAAAGCAAAAGCCTATATAATAATTTAAATATTGGGTATTTTCCCCTCATTTTCAATGTTATTCCTCTTAAAAATGTTTTTTTTTTCAGTCCATTCATTATATGTCGAGTTGTTTCACCATATTGTTGCTTAATGTACTATTTTTGTGTTAAACTGGCATTTGTCATCTGTTCAGCTAAAGAAATGGAGTGAAATGGTTTTTGTGACAGGTTGATGGTTATTAAGTGCCTAAAGATTTTATTAGGGATGCTCCGATCAGGTTTTATTTGGGCCGATCACCAATACCGATCACATGGATTGGCTGTAAATTTTTAGATTTGGTTAAAATGAGTGCTACTTGCTATGTGATCTGGAAACTAGGAACCATAAAATCACCATAATTTGTACAAAAACATGTCTTTACTTTTTCAAGACAAACGATGTAAAAACTCACAGACACAATACAGCAACTGTTCAGGACAACTGACAAAAATCTACCTATTATCAATAACACAGTCTTTAACAGATTGAAAACGTTACGCTCTCAACAGGCTAAAGAGTGCAGAAAGTAATAAATCTCAAAGCATTGCTTAAATATATATATACCACCGGACTTCTGCAGTCTGCAACGGTGATCAGTTTTTGTGATCGGCACTGATAGGCATTGATTGGTATCGGCCGATCACATACTTTTTAATGCAAATCGATGATCATGATCAGTGGCTGATCGATCATTAGTTCTTTTGTACGTGGTATGTGATGTGACAACACAGCACTGGCTCATCCCTTGAGTTTAAGAGTCTTTTTATGTCCAAATGATTCATAGGCCAGAGTTAACTAGCTTAAACAATCGATCCTTTTCAAGATATTGCAAGAACTTCTGGCTGATTAGAATAAAAAAAAAAAAAACTATGAAACAAGGACTGACTGAAGATGTTTGCACAGTGCTTTAATTACAAGATACCATGCGCTAAAACGCATTGTGAATGAAAAGGAAGCAGAAAAATGACCAGCGCTGCATAAATTCTTACACTGAGGCACAAAGATTTGCTCAGATTATGTGTGAAATTGGCATTTTTAGGATATTGACAGATGAGAGATGCCTTCTGATGGAGCAGGTGGATCGACAGGTTGTGAACAAGTTATGGGTCCTGCTTTAACTTGTGCATCGTCCAGCTGAGCAAGGTTTCCTCTATCAGTAATCATGAACCAGTTGGAGACATAAAACCCCCATTAATCCACACTTTAGGAAGTATTTTTTTTAATTGGGCATTTTTATAAAACGGTGTCAGATTTTTTTTTCTTCCTTTTCCAAGAAATGATCATGCATCCTAAGAACTCGAGTTAAAATGAAATGTATTCTGCAGTCTTGTAAACATTGTGCCTAAACCTCAGTAACAGGTTTGCTTTTGATCACTATCCCGTCCTCTCCTCCCTCTGCTCGTCGCTAACCGGCCCTTCTTTAAAGTCTGCTCTGCCCCTGAGAGTCCACATGTCTAGTTGCTATCACAAGCCTTTGTGTGGCTCACAAAGAGCCAGAGTCCCCTCCAGTTTTGTCCCCATTCATGAAAAGCAGCGGTGCATGAACTAGGCTTTCCCTTCAGTCCCAGGCCTCCCCAGAGATCAGCCCTGTGAGTGATAGCAGCGGCGTGGATGAAAAGACACTTTGACGAGAGTTTAGGGTGGACCGAGTGGGTGGGCATGAGAGTGCTTGGTTCTAACTGAGCTGAGACGTGGACTGGGAAGCCTGTTCTCCTAAATATTCTAAAACGGCTTCTTTTTTTACCAGTTTTATGCAAATTATTGAGCAGACACTGATGCAAATTTATCCAAGCAAAACATTTTGATAGTCCTTAGTGAAGGAGGCACGTGACAACACTTCAGTGACATCACTTGCGTTTGTTACAGAGATGAAGCTTGTGTCGTCTCAGCCCAAACCCCTGGAGTCCGCCCCAGTCTCAGTGGACCCACCGCCACCTGCCGGCCCGGGCACCGAGGATCCTGAGCTGAGGATGCTGGAGAAGAGGTCAAAGGTCATCGAGGAGCTGCTGCAGACTGAAGATGACTTCATCAGAGACCTGGAAATGTGTGTCAGTGAGATCATCGTGCCTCTGCAGGAAAAACAGGTAACAAGATTAAAACCATGACGTTAAAAAAAAAAAGTATTCTGGATGCACAAAAAACATCTCAGTCTTAGGCTTAATGGAAATGTTGACCTTTATTTACTGTTTTTATTTGAAGGTGGATGTGGACTTTGAGGGACTGTTTGGAAACATCAGCTCTGTGATTGACTTGTCCCTGCGGTTGTATAATGACCTTCAGGAGACGGACTCTATAGGTAAGAAGTCACTTAACAAACTTGTCTAGTCAGGAAAAATCTTTTTATACTCGACTCTTGTTGCATCTGTAAACAACTTTGAATTTTACTGGATTAGTAAGTCTTTGGAGCAATATTTTTATGAGCTTTATACATGACTTGTAAAATACTACATTCAACAAATCATAAAATTATAATAATTTAAATTGATAAAATAATATATTTGTTGGGTGACCATAGCTCTTTTTTGTAAAATGAAAATGGGATATGTAATTGTTTTGCATGCGTTTCCCCAAACTTCAATACGATAGATTAAATATGGAACAATCATTACATTATGCAATATATACAAATCTTTGTCATTCAAAATCTCTTTTACTTTATACATTAATGCAATTGATTTTGCTATGTTTATTCTTAAGTAATTTACGAGATTTCCATGTCAGCTTCTCATTAATAACACCCCAAAATTTTATTTCATTAACTCTATGGATTTCAATACAGTCAATATTAAATGGACTTCGATAATTTTCATTCTATTACTAACTATCATGTAGTTTGTTTTTTCCAAATTTAATAACTTAAGTTGGAACCAAGTTTGTATTTTTACAAATTCTGCCTGTATAATCTATAACATCTGTTCAATATCTTCACCCGAACACAAAAAATTTATCATTTGCAAATAAAACACACTTCAAAAGCCCCGACACATCAACTAGATCATTCACATACAAAATAAACCATTTTGATAAACAACTTTTGTCCCAACACAGAGCCCTGAGGAACTCCACATTCATTAACACAAAATTCTGATCTTGCATCGTATTTGAACATTTGTTCCTTTTTCCCTTTTAAGCATAAAACAAATTGTGGTGCATTTTTGTCCATCCTTTCAGGACAAGTATTTTTGAGCTACAAAGCTGAGCTGGAGGAGGTGTACAAACTTTACTGCCAAAACCACGACGAGTCCAACACCCTGCTGGAGATGTACGAGAAAGACAAAAACATTCAGCACCACATTCAGGACTGTCTCGAGAGTCTAAGGTGCGTCAGGTGCATTTTTTATTTTTAAACCTGTCGCATGGCTAAGGGATGAATGGAAAACGGTGGCATTAAATAATCGACTAAACTAAAGCGTGGAGCTTCATCTCAGTTTGTCTGTGAGATGTTGAGCAGAAATGTTGAGCAGTTCAGGAATGTGCCCTACCTTGTTTCTCCTGTCAGGTTTCACCATCTGTGCCTCCGATACTCACTGCGTTTCAGTGGAATATAGTCTGGTTTGAAGATAAACACATGTTCTGTCGGACAGGAAGCTGCAGAACAAAGAGGCAGTGACTCCGTACACAGAATCAAACACAACACTGAGCAGCCTAATCTGTGCTCACTCCTTATTGACAAAAAGTTTAGCTAGGTTTTTACATTTCTCTTTTTTTTTTTTTTCCATTTTATAAGTTTAAAGCTGCCAATTCTTCAGTCTGGATTGTTGCGCAACAAAATAATATTTGAAAAATTCCCATGTGCTGCCACGTTTCAGAAACTGGTTTGCCAAATTCTGTGTTTTTCATCTGCACTAAAGCAAACTTGTTGAAACAACTCTCACACAGTATTTATTTTATTTTATTATCTTTCTCTTTCTTCCCACTCCTTTCAACAGGGCCATTTACCGCAAATGGTAAGTCTCCATAATGAGTGTCGGCATGATTTCCAGCATGATAATCATCCTGCCTGCATGCCTGTCGCTCACTAACGCCCCTGTGGGAACGACCTGTGTGTGTTCTGTTCCAAATTAAAGTGGACTTTTAAAACATCTCTGCTGATTGGACATGGGCTCATACGTGTGGTGTTGCTTGTATTTAGCATGTGTGTTGTTTTACTGTTGTTGTGCAGAAAAGTATTCTTTTTAATGTCCCTAAACCCTTTTTTAAATTTTTTACCTCTTCTGTGTTTGAGCAACAAGATGGTTGATTTGGAGACACAGCGCCACCTACAGGACTAAACTGAGAACTTTTTTTTACTAGCAATTCCAAATTCAACAAATTATTTCTCAGTTTTGTAACGCGAGTTCTCACCTTTACCTGCTAATTTAGGGTGATTGTTAAATTGGAAATAATTAGACATTTGACTTTAAAGAGCAGAGTTAAGTACAACGTAAGACTTAAAGTGTCCGTTTTATTGGCAGATAAATGTTGCAGTGTGGAGGGGGAAAGTCATCTTTCCAGGTTTGGACCAGAATAAAGGATTATTTCAATTGTTTTTATTGTATCTGACTGTTACAGACCCACCTTTACTGGGTTAACAACAAAAAATGTTGTAACTCAGGGGTGTCCAATCCTGGTCCTCAAGAGCCACTATCCCACATGTTTTAAAGGCTTCTTTGCTCCAATACACCTGATTTGCATAAATGGGTGATTAACAGCATGAATGGGGTAATTTAATCAATGAATGAAGTGTGTTGGAGCATGGAAACAAGTAAAACATACAGGATAGTGGTCCTCCAGGACCAGGATTGGACACCCCTGTTTTAGATGAAGCAGACTGAGGTGAGATTTCCTCGCAGACCCTGTTTTAATCTTTGACGAGTCTCGAATAAATACACTAAGTATTAAACTAATAAAACTCTCTAAACGTCTGAAGCTTATAAAAATACTTGGCAGTATTGTTCTTCAGTAAAATGGACACAGTAGCCTAGTCCACCATGAAATCTGAGAGTATTTAAAAGTCATCGCTCAGTAAATGTATTTGAGACTCTTATTCTGAAGGATTGAGACAAGTTTTGTGAGTTTTCGCTGCAGTGGGAGGAAAAATGTCTGCTTCCGTTTGTTCACTGGAGTCCAAGTTTGATTTTAAAGTTGACAGAAAATGTATTGGAATCCAGTAAACGCACCTTGGACCGCTTCAACTAAAATACTGCATTTTATTTTGTAGTTAACCCAGAAAAAGTGCACCCATAACCCTCAAACAATATTAACAAATGAAACTATTACAAACAACTTTGTTTTCTGTATATTTACACTTTAATGCCAACATTTACACTTTGATATTCCTATGTGTCGTTGCCCCCCCGAGTGGCTCTAAAACACAGTTCTAGTTAAGTAATTAGATTTTTTTTGCTGAGTTTAATTGTAAAATTCGTTAGTCCTGAAGGTTGCATCAAAACTAAGCAAATCAATCTTATCTGTCTTTGTATACTTTCCGAATGTATTGATCATATTTTAAAATGTAAATTTGATGACATGTACATTGAGTTGTAGAATCCATATAAATGCTGACATGTCTCCATCACTGGGAAGTTATTTCTTCCAGTCTGTGACTATCATGACCGTTGTTCCTGCCGCTTCACATTTAGTTTTACTCACACGCTGCTTCTGCGTTTGTCTTCCAGGGGTAAAGCAAATTACATCAACCTCGGCTCCTTCCTGATTAAGCCCGTGCAGCGGGTGATGCGGTACCCGCTGCTGCTGACGGAGCTGCTGGGGGCCACACCGGAGAGCCACCATGACCGGCCCCAGCTGACTCAGGCTGTGCAGGCCACCAAGGAGATCAACACAAACATCAACGAGCATAAGCGCAGGAAGGATCTTGGTAAATAAAAATAAAAAAATAAAAACCCGTTGCTTCTCTTTAAAAATGTGCCTCAAGAATATTTATTGTACACTCAGCTGATTTTGAATTGCTTGTATTATGAAAACCATATTCAGTGCTTGGTTTCCCTTAAGTTTTCCCTCCTGTCCTCAGTTGTAAAGTACAGGAAGGGGGACGAAGACTCGTTCATTGACAAGATCTCCAAGCTGAGCATGCACTCCATCATCAAAAAATCCAACCGAGTCAGCAGTCACATCAAGCACCTGACAGGGATTTCACTTCAGGTGCGTTTCTGCTTTAAGCAAAGATTTTTATCTAAAATAAAAGGAAAAGCTCAAACAGTTATGACTAAATGCTTTTTTTTGGTCTCCTCAGATTAAAAGTGAGGAATTTGATGATGCAGAGAAGAAGTTCAGGCTGCAGGAGAGACTCATCAAGTCTTTTATCAGAGACATTTCCCTGTACCAGCAGCATATCAGGGTAGGAGTTTACTGTCATTTCAATAAATGTCTTTATATTTTTACCAGCTCCTTAATCCTTGAATGAATCTCTGTTTTAGGAATCGGCGTCTGTGAATGTCTTGGCCGCCATCAGTTTGAGTGATATCTATACAGAACGTAGTGTTCTGGATCCCGAGCGCTTCCAGAGAGCTCACCGCACCATCAGCGACAAACACTTTACTCAGTTTGTAAGTCCTACTTCTCTCTTTTGCATCACAGAGGTGGTAACTGCGCCTCCATGGCAAAGTAGTGTGTGGCTGCAAATCCAAAGGAACATCAAATGAAAATGTTCTGAGAGTAAATCTAATCTGCAAGTTTTTCTTTTGTTGTTACGAAACGCGCAACTTAAGAACCTTTAGAGGCATGTTAACGTGTATTTGAGTGTAATTGGAAGTAAACTCTTCCTACCACGCAGAGATCATCAATCGTTCCTCTTCACTTCTGCTACTTTAAAATAGGTTGTTTTTGTGTGACTCGGGATCAGACACGGCACAAAAAAGAACAATTTATGAAGATTAAAAGCTTAGCAGTAGGTTTCACTAGGCCTGTCGCGATAAACAATAAATCAATTAATCGCATAAATGAAAATTATCAACCTCATTTTATCGACTTTATCGTTTCTTTGTGTCTCTCTCTTTTTCTACTGAAGACACTCGATGACAAAAGGCTCAACTCCGGTGCTCTTCACTGACCCTCCCCTTCTCTTTAAAATCTGTTTTAACGATCCAAAATCATGTTTTTGGATCGTTAAAAGCAGCTAAGATGAGAAACTAAGCTAACAGGCCGACCTCGGGAATAAACCTCAGTTTTGTCGAAGCTCCAAAATTTACGGTTGAAACCCGTGCCTTTGTGTAAAAAGTTTTTTCTCTGCAAAAAGAACCTGAGAACTTGTTTACTGATTTTTTTTTAATTTTTATTAAAAGCTTTGTGTGAAAAATGCTATGCTAAAGAGCTCGAATCACCGAGCGTCCACCATGTCACAAGGGCCCTCCCTTCCTCCCATTTTTCTTAAAGAGACATGCTGCTAACTATCCATCCTTTGGTTCAAACAGTCTTATACTGTCATCAAGTTGTCAAAAAAGGTACTACAAACCAACATTTCTTCTAAAATTTGACAATTAAGTATTGTTAAATTTCAAACATTATTGTCGTTTATCGCAATAATTTCTGAGACAATCGCCCAGCAATGTGTTATCGTGACAGGCCTAGGTTTCACCACTTGTCTAGTTAGAAGTTTGAGGTCATCTTTTTCCTTGAGTAAATTAAAGACGAGGCTTGAATGTTGTTTTTATTTTGATGCTCTAAATCAAGGGTGCGCACACTTTTTCAGCATGCGAGCTACTTTTAAAATGACCAAGTCAAAGTGATCGACCTACTATAAGGCACGAGAACAATCTCTGTTAGTGTTTTTTCAATGTTTATTGGGGGCAATAAATAAAAAATGAGTGGGTTTACATGAAAAATGCTGTAGTTTCCATGTCAGTTGGGTTGCCAGATAAGAAATTATGAATTTTCCCTGAAAATCTCCACTCTGAGACCTGGTTTGAGAGAATGAGTACCGTGACTGGCTGCCTTGTATCTCAATCAAGTGAAAATTTTCATAGTGAGGATAGATGATAGGCTGACATCTATTTTTAATGACATGCGAGCTACCCATAATGCTCTTGTGATCAACCGCTAGATTGTGATTGACATATTGGGTACCCCTGCTCTAAATAATCTGCAGGGTCTTAAAACGTCGTACACTAAATGGTCTCAGTTGACTTTCCTTCCCTCCATTGACTACGGTGACATTTACATGAACGCTCCTACAAGAACCCTGCAGATGTTAGATGCTGTCTATCACGGTGCACTAAGATTCATAACTGGCTGTGATTACTGTACCCACCATTGCACCCTGTATTCACTGGTTAACTGGACATCATTAACTTCACGCAGACTCTCCCACTGGTACATTTTCATCTTTAAATCACTTCTTTGTCTGCTGCCTTCATACATCTTCTCCTGCATGTCTCTGCGTGAGTGCAGCTACGGCGTGCGCTCTCAGGACATTATTACCTGCAGTGTTCCCTCAGTGAGGACTGAACTAGGCAAGAGGGCCTTCTACTCCGTTCCTGTTTCCTGGAATATCTTACAAAAACAATTGAAGCTCTCGACCTTGACCTCTCTAAGTGGCTTTAAGAATCTGTTGGACTCCTGGCAGGGACCAATGCAGACATGTTCCTGTTTTTAGTTTTTTACATTCACCTTAGAATCTAGCTGTTTTTTGTTACCTTTTTCTTTTAGCCATCCTATTTGTTTTAAAAAAAAAAAACAACAACAACTGCAGTATGACTTTTTATAACTGCTTATTGTTGTTGCTGTTGTCCACTGTTGTCATCATTCTTTGTTGAAATCAGATCTCTCTTGTAAATGAGTCCTCGAGGCTCAATGGGATTTACCTGTCTAAATAAAGGTTGAATGAAATTGTGAGGCTTAAAAAGTATTATAATGTCCAGATTTTGCATTTTAGGTCTAAAAAAAATCCATTTAGTTATAATTTAAATGTCTAGTTTGTTCTTTCATTGCTGCTTCTATCAACTGTTTTAATGTGTGCCATCATTCATTCATTTGTTCGGTTTTGTAGTTATTCTGATGTTGTTTCTAACAAAATAAATGCAGCAACCCTACTGGAAGGAATTTATTGATGGAGTGGTTTAGTGTAGTTGTCTTTGTCTTTCAGATGCTAACGCACCACTGCTCTAAACCTCTCTTTATGACGAGTGAAAAGTCCTGAATAAAATCTGATCATCTACTGTCTGTCTCCCCCTGAGCAGAAGGAGCGCACAGAGGCGCTGGTCATACAGCCGCTCTCCCAGCTCCTCATCATGTTCGCTGGGCCTCACAAGCTCATCCAGAAACGCTTCGACAAGCTGCTGGACTACGACAACTGCAAGGAGCGCGCCGATCGCCTGAAGGACCGCCGAGTCAAGGACGAGCTGCAGGTGACGCGCAACAACTACGAAGCGCTGAATGCCCAGCTCCTGGACGAGCTGAAGAAGTTCAACAGCGTGGCAGAGGGGCTGTTCAAAGACTGCGTGAAGGCCTTCGCTCAGGTCCAGAAGGACTTCATGAAGACGACGCTCGGAGAGCTCAAGCCTCTTCTGCAGGTTGGGATCGTGTCTTCTTTCTTTTGCTGTAGCACCTCATACACTGTGGTTTGTTGGACACTTGGAGACTTTTATAATTAACGTTTACCGATTCTGTTTCTGTATTCCATTTTCTCTAGTTCTCTAACAAAGTCTGCGCAGAAGGAAACCTGATCACCCAGTTTCAGGAGGAGTACAGCCACGTTCTCCGACTTCTGCAGAGCTTCAGCTTCTGCCCAGAGAACCTGCCTCCAGCCACAACCACAAAAAAACAGTTTGAGAAGAGGACGCTCGAGAAACAGACCACCAAAAAGCAGCTGCAGGGACATGTGAGTTTAATGCTTTATATATATATATATATATATATATATATATATATATATA